GTCCTATACGTAGCGTGCCCCTATATACTACGTCTGGGCGTCCCGTGGGATGACGGATGAAAAGGAAAAGGTGGAGTACATTTTTGTCATTTTTGATTGAAGTTGTACACTGTATGCGAATTTTGAACACTTGTGTGCGAATTGGACACTGGCTGGAAAGAATGAAAAAAAAAGAACATTAAAAACTGACATGAATTACTGGAAAGTTTCTTTTCTTTATCCGCAAATAGTTCATGATTACACCACGGCTTTAACCATAGCTCATACTAGCTAATGGCATCCGAATTTACCAACATTATGGTGTCTGTTCCAAACAACTGATTCACGTTTTAAGCAATAAAAGCCACTTTACAAAAAATGTACATAATTTCAATCAATCATCAATGGTATACTAAAGTAAAACGGCTATTATACTCACACAAAACACCTTTCGTGAAGAATTTGACCATTGGAATTCACCATTCGCTCATCGACACCAAAGCTCTCTTGACAAACTGCACAAATAGCGTGGCCTAGTCCGTAACCTGTCGGTGGTTGCATCTCATTTTGAACTGGCATGGTTTATAACTGTTAATTTTAACCAACAGTGGGAAGATTGTCAAAGCAAGGAGCAACAACGGCAACGAACAACAACTCAAAGCTCAACGCGGCCGCGATGGGATGGGAAACTGGGCAACAGTTCTCCTTTCAAGGAAGGTGGGTGGGGTAGGGGAGGGGAAGGGAGGGTAGGGGATCAGAGAGAACCAAATTTATCAAACATTTTTTATTCATTTTTCTTTATATCATCTTTTTGTCGTAAGGACTAGTCTACTGCTGTCTAAAAATTTGCTAACCATAATTCTCTTTGTCTATAAGAGAAAGCTTTGAAGTTCTATCTAATTCGTCAGATGTCGTAAAAATTGAAAAATTTTAACCGTTAGCCGTAAATAGGGTAAAAAAGAGTTAACCGTAAAAGAAATTGTTACCTAGTTTTGCTACTTTTAAGGAAGGTGCTAAACTTACTTATGATTACGTTTTTTACTTCCCGGCTAGTGTGACTCCGTACGCACGTTAAGCAAAGCGCCTTTTAGGTGTTAACCAAGACCTAGGCACACACTAGAGCTAGAAATTGATCATCCGTCTGAGACTAGCCTGTGTACAGTCGCGCCCTATCTGGAGCGGATAGTCCCGTCTTCAAAAGTCAGGCGGATTGTTCATTCAAAATTAAAACTATTCCATTTTCAGATTAAGACGTATTACCTATCTGACGCGAATCAACAAACGGATAACCCGTCTCACACGAATAATCCTTCTCTAGTGTGAAAACGGCCATTTCTGTTATAATGAATGTCGCGCCCCGGGCCTTGAGTTGGGCGTTTGCGTGTCTGCTTTTGCTTTTTCACGAAGATTATTTTTAAATTGACTATTAACATTTCTATGTGTAAAATAATGTATTAGAAGTGGAATACTTTATAAAAAGCATTCAACCTTTTGATATATAAAATATTAAACTTTTTCAAAAGAATAGCTTATTTCATCCCGAGATGATCCGAAGACCTTTATTTTGATTTAAAGATACAAAAAAATACGGGTTAATTAATATTTAACTTTTTGAAACAAAAGAAGTTAATTTTTAACTTTTTCGTTAACCGTAACTGAAAAAAATTAACCGATAGCCGTAAAAGAGCCAAAATTTTAGCCGATAACCGTAAAAGCCACCACCCCATTGGGACCCTCTTCAGAACTCCTCTTTATAGTTTTAGAGACGGTCTTCGAAACTCACTTTTTAGTCTGCAGTAATTTATCGCTGTTTTGTAATTAATCAGGCTTCTCTTTTAAAAAGTGGTAGCCTTTTCCTTACTTTACTTCAGTTTCTTTTCAGTTTTATAACAGAAAGAATTTGCTAACTCAGTATACGTCAGTCCAGGGGCGTCTTAAACTTTAAAATTAGATGACTTAATCGTAATTTTCTTCTCACTGGGTTATTCAGTATTTTGTGACGATTATATTGGATGAGTTTTCTGAATGTTAAGGATTATCAAAATGCAGATCTCGGAGGGTGCTTCTTACCCATTCAAAATATTTCCTCCGGCTAAAAGCTTTAATTGCTTACCTCGATCTATATGCAGCCATTTCGATCTTCATAACCTAACTATCTGTTCCTTAATAGCTCCTGGATATCAGAAAGTGGTCCACCAGTATTTTTCAAACAGTGGTATTTTTGCTCACCTGTTGTTTCTATGTTTTAAGGTAGTACGATTCAACTAAATGTCTTCTTCGCATAAGGGTGAAATCTACCGCCACTTTATTTTATGGGTCCGGAAATTTAAAGTGTCACACATATGTTCCTCCTAGTATGTTTCTGCATTTGTGTCTTTATTTCCGGAACGAGGCATTGCATGGGAGAAAAAACTCTCTGATTTCAAACGAAAAACCACGGATACGTGCGTTTTCTTTTGAAAACGATGACATTTTGATGCGCGTAGGCCTTCCGTTCACACTAGTACGCAGAGCGTTTTCATCGACAACGCATAGATTTCAAAACGCTCTTGGAAGTTGATCAAAACGGAAACGCATACACATCGTATTAGTGTGGACGGTCAAAAATGGTTGAAAACGAATCGAAATGAAAAAGATGACTCCCTCATATGTACCACGTGGGTTGTAAAAATATCTCAAGTGCGTGTGTTTGTAGTACGCGCATAGAGTTGAACCAGAAACCCATAAGGGGTTTGGTTTCTGGTTGAACTTACCTTATTATAGGAAACTAACGCTCCATGAAATAAAGGTATTGGAAATTAACGCGACTTAAATTAACGCGAATTTAAAGGAAAACGACTTTCGAATAAAGAAAATTAACGCGAAAGATGAGCTAGAATTTCATAATAAAGGAAATTAACGCGATTGAGACAGAGTTGGACAAATTTATTTCAACACTAGATGCAAAAAAAATCCAAAACTGAACAAAACTGAGCTGACATCACTTCTGACAGCGACAACGCTGAAGATGAACTCGAAATATTGTAAACCTGCGCCTTAGCTTTTGTGAAAGATGAAAAATAAAGGGTAAATGGAAAGAAAGAAAGCTTGTAGTTAATGTGTTTTAGGTGTCAAGAATGTCTGGACAGGTTTCAAAATTGGGGTTAAAATACTGGAAATTAAGAGCGCGGAAATTAACGCTGCACTTAATTAACGTCGCGGAAATTAACGCTCAACAAAATAAACGCGACTTAAATTAACGCGAATTTTAACGATTCGCGTTAATTTCATGGAGCGTGCGTTAATTTCCTATAATAGGGTACGTCATAACGTTCAATTCTGTCACTTCTTAGCCTCGTACCCAGGCCAGTTCGCGCTATCCGGCAGATGACGTCACATCCGAAATTGTCGAGGACGACTAGGAACGAGGCTGTCACGTGTGGACAGTCGAAAACGTATCAAAATAATAGTGTTGACACGAATCGATTGATGCGAGTTCAATGACAACGAAAACGCATTAGGGACTGGTCATTATTTATCGCCTGGGGGGGCGGGGCGGAGGATTTGGGGCTAAAACAAGGTGAAATTTAGCCGATCCCCTCTTTGAATTTTACTTCAATGAAGTGATCCCCCCTAATAACGTTTGATGTCTTTCGCGATCCCACCCATGTCTTCATTTTCCAAGCAAATTTGAGTGGTCCCCCCTGAATCCTTCCAAAGTTTTCAGCGACCCCCCCCCCTTTTTCGTTCTCAGCAGGAGCCCATCAAACTGGTTCTCAGTTCTCAGCTGATCCCCCCTTTTGTGTTCCTACAAATCAAGTGATCACCCCTAAAAAACCCAGTAGGAGCCCATCAAACTGGTCCTCAGTTCTCAGCTGATCCCCCCTTTTGTGTTCCTACAAATCAAGTGATCACCCCTAAAAAACCCAGCCCCCCCCCGCCCCAGGCGATAAATAATGACCGTTCCCTTATGTTGACAGGGCCTTAAACTTTTTTGACTCAGTCTTCAGTAACATCAAAAAGCAAAACTCAGAAAGAACTATTATGTTTTCATTTTTTACTAACATTTGCTGGCAAGAGATTGCTCATTACATTATAGCCTTTAATTTTGTTACAAAATGCTCCCATCTTGAATTTCTAACTGAAAATTCCGTAGTGCCCTCTGATCTTCTTCATCTGTAATCAGATCGTTCTCGAATTAAGAAAAAAATGTCATACTGGGTTTGAACTGATAGAATATTTCCTTGTTCCAAACATATGATAAGATCATGTACTATACATTTATACGCTTTTAATTAAGCAGTCTAAGCATTACTATCAGATCAATTTTGATCAAACTGGTTTACTTTCAAAAGAAACTGGCCAAGGTACGAACATTATGTGACTCTTTCTTGATAGCTAATTGTAATGACCTTTGAAATCCCATTACTCGTAAATGCTCGTCAAATAAAACAAGATTTATGCTGGCTAGTTCCTAATTAATAGACAGTATTAAACAGAGACAGCTACAATGCCAAGCCAGGTGCTCTATATAGTATGCGTTTTTTATGCGCAATTTTTGCGGGCTAAGGCACCAAGGTGCGGATGAGCTCAGTTTCGTGGTGAACTAGTACCATTCAGTTTTAACGGCCGGGGTATTTCATACGTGAGATATTCATGATCAGAGAAATGATTTACCCAGATTTATAGAGCTTTGTATGAAGACATCACGTTGGTACCCATCCGGATGGGCATAAACATGGCGGGCTGGAAACCAACAGAAACATCTGTTACTGGATTTGCCACGAAAGGGTGAATTCATCTCTTGAGGACTGAACTCATAAACAGTAAAGTAATACTTTCTCTAATACAATAACTGTATTACAAAATGAATAAACCTTTCGAAGTGAAAATTTGTCTAAAAATAAGCCCATAAGTGCTTAGCTGCTCTTGACTAATACTTTATGAAAGTAAAAACTCAAGAGGATCGATAGGTCTCTAGTTTGAATTTTTTGATGACGTCATGTGAAAACCAGCCATTGATCTGTGTATCGACTCGACAATTAATACTCAAATGGCGTGTCAGGTTCATTGATCAACTTCTTCCAGAACATGAGAGCAGCTAATCGCCCGCTTTGCGGAAAGCACGTCGGAACGACAGTTAATCTGGTACCTAGGTAGTTGTATCCAGGTCCAATTTGGTGGTACTCGTTCAGGTAGCCGCAGGCATCATGGGTAGCAGTGTGGTAAAGTATGGCTTCAATTTCTTCTTGTTCTTTGCCCGTGATTCGGAAGTGTTTGTTGTTTGGATTGGTAAACTCTGTTCTTCCTCCTGCAAATTGAACAAATATAGCTATGCATTAAAACTAGATCACCGAAACTTTAAGGCTTTGAAACAATTCGACATCAGAACTCATTTAATAAATTCGTCAATCGCCATGGTCTTATCGTCGATAAGTATGGTGCAGCCCTTCGGAAATGAGATTACCAATTCAGGCTTAAATTGCACCATCGTATCCGTACATTGCTTATTTATTACTTGGATTTTTATTTCAGTTATATATTGGTACGTGTGCACCCGCAATGTAATTTTGGGCGCGTGCATTATTTATTTATTTATTTATTTAAGTTGCGTGTACATTTAGTTCGTTTAATAACGTCTTAGTTTTGCTTTGCGTTATTTTCCTCACTTATATGTGTTGTCTCCGACTGTGCTCACACGGTGGGTAGCTCCTCCTAAAATGTTCTGCAATTGGTGTAGGATTTAATGGAGCCGAAACCAATTGTGGAATTGCACGCATTTTAGGCATCCTACTGATGAACAGTAGGGACACGTAGATATATATTTTTAGCAACTACTATAATTTGCAGTCTGTCTACTTTGAATAGAATGTATACCTGGAGCTCGCGAGCGCTCCTGGTATCATAAAAAATTGGACCAGAATCCTGCAGGACTCTACACAGAAATGGCGAGCGGGTGCTACTGTGTCTATAACTACTCTCCCCTTTCTCCCCACTTGCGATCCATACCACCTTTCTGAAGCCTTGCTATTTAACAAGGTTGTTGTACATTCGTGAACGAAAATATGTTCACGGGCGACATCCTAAAAATGCTGCGAAATACCTAACGGATCATATGCGCTTGGTGTATACCGCAAGTTTTCATCTCAGTGGTTGGGAGTGATTGCGTTGTATTTTCTATGACACAAAGCAGCTCGAGATAGAGGGATCCTCCTCGATATATTCTACATACCCTCTTTCTCTTCGGCGATTAAATCTCAGCTTTCTTTAGCCTATCATGACGGAGTTCACTAAAAACACTACCGATAGATAGCTTATACTGATCCGTGCTATTCGAAGGGTGGTAGACAATTTTCCCTTGTTCCTTGGATCAGTTGTTACTACGCGTTAATAACCTTAGCCGCGCCCTAAAATACAAGTAGGTCGTTTTGAATATTCAACAAAATGATAAAATAAATATTGAGGGAAGCTGAGAGAAGTGGTCTCCAAAAAAAACAAACAAGCAAGCAGGTGTCATAGTAACAGTAATTGAATAGCATCTTACTGATCTATGGATTAAGGCCAGGCCAGAAGCCCAATTCTAGCATTAGCTAGAATTATCTGTGTCGCAAAGCGCGCAAAGAACATTCACAGCTACCCTTCGATCCTGGGATCGAGAAGTCTTTTCAGTTTACAGACAAGAAAGAATTAAGTACCATAAGAGAACAAAACTAACTCATATTTTATGGCGAAAAAAGACAAATTAAAACGCAATTACTTGAAAGGGGAGTGACGAGATTTTGTGGGGTGGTATTAGTTACCTGCTGGATACAATAAGACTCCAAATACAGGGTCAAGTCCTCCAAGTGTGTCTGCAATTATCTCTCCGCATCTTAGTTGTTGCTTTGTTCCCCAATACCAGTCGTCTTCGCGAAGCACAGATAATGGCTTTTTTGTGTTACGAATGCATTGAAAGCACTGCTGCTCTTCAATATTAGTCTCCATTTCTTCCCTTTGTCCTCGAAAAAACAGAAGCTTTTTATAATCCGCCATCATTTTTGTTTCGTAGAAGCCAGGCCTTCCTTTCGTGCGGATCTTAATGATTTCCTTCAGAGACGATTCGGCGTCCGGGGAAAGACCCTTTCCAACCTCTATTAAACTGTACAATTTCCGCACATGTTTCCCAAGACTTTTTACTTCTTCATTTCTTGTAGCTACGCTCGCTCTTCGGTCGCTAAACGAAGAGTAGAACAGTTCTCTGAGATAACTTTCTCGCTGTTCCTTAGAAAGATACGAATGCATTTAAGCTAGGTCGACAATGTGCAGTTGAAAAAAGCCTTAATGTGATTTCGACTGGTTCAGCTAGTCGCATCGTAGAGCTAAAAATCTCCTGGCTCAATCAACTATGAACCAAATATTTGCCTAAAGAGTTTTCTTCTCGTTTTTTCCAAGGGAGAATCATAGCCAAGACCTGTTTACGTTAGAACCAGCCCGTTTCTCTGTTTGGTCGTTTTGCGGGTGGCGTAATGGTTTGTGGTTTGTGAATGGTCCGTTTTGAAAGATTGCCATCTTCTCATTCTGCCAAGAATTATAAAATTAACCAGTCGAGAGCTTTCCTTGAGAAAAAAAATCACTTGTTTAATAATGGATGAACATGTTGCGGGTGGAACGGCTTTCAGCAAAAGAGCTGTGTAGTTTACCAGAATGATCATCTTTAATTTTTCGAAACAAAAGTGGTCAAAAGTACATCCTTTTCGCCTTTTTTAATACACTGTACATGTGTTCTGTGCACTTGAGGCCTACATGGCTATCTAAAGCTTAGGAACCGTTATTAAGAGGAGACCAGGGCTTATGCAAAGGAAACTGGTCGTTTTCGATACAAAGTTGTTTGGCTACAAGTCATTTCGATACGAACTGAAGCAGTGAAATTGCACATTTCGTTCACTTCAAGTGTACTTTGCGCGTGAACAAGAAAAACATTTTGGGTGAATATTCTTCGTTCCTTTAAGCCAAATTACACCTACTTGTATCGAAACGACCGGCAATGCATGGAGGTTGGAAATTAAGTACGTTCAAATTCTCCCGGTCCTCCCCTTGGTGAAGCACATCAGTGTTTTGTAGAAGCTGCCACCTCATTCACTCCCTTAATTAAACTGTACGCCCGCTTGCTCTTCCTAAAACTTGTGAAAGCGGCTGAAGTTTCTTCAATTTCAGGGATGGCAATTGTCAGGGGCGGATATAAAAAATTCAGAAAGGGATGGCCGGGACACTTGCTCATTTACCAGCTATATACATAAGTTACATTTTGCTGAGATTTCTTTAAAAATAATACAAAATTTCAAAGAAAAAGGAGTGGCGCGGCCCCGTCGGCCCACCCCTACAGGGGCGTAGCCAGGATTTTTCAGAGGTACGCACAACATCCCAAAATCCCCAAATCCAAATCCTGAGCCTCTTAGCAGATTGGCTCATTTGTCAAGGATGGGAAAAAATTGAAGAGGTTCTGGTAAAGGCATGTTCTCGATTTTATGCATACATTTCTTCATTGCTTAACAAGCCAGAATTACCTTGCGAAACTCGGGAGCTATCAACGTGAATCACCGTGTTTCTGGTTGTTGAATCAAGTTTCTCTTGATGTTATTTGAAGAATATCCTTTCATATTTATAAAACTATTCATAGCAGTTAACTTTACAGCGCACTATGAATTTTAATGTCAATAATTTTATAGCAATACTAAAACCATAAACTTGTGTCGTCACGGCGTGAAGTCTTAATTAGAATAGCACTTTTTCAAAGGAAGACGTTAATTGAAACGAAAATTCGCACATTAAAATGCTTAAATGGCACTACTTGACTGCGCGATCAATGAAAAATACTGCAGTGTTGGCGGAGGACGGGACATTTGCCCTCTTTTTTCGTCCCCACCCCGGGGGATTTGACAGCTCAAGAGTCCCCACCCCCGGGAATTTGCCATCCAAGGCTTAAAAAATGCTTATACCCGGGGTCAGCCCGGGAGGGGGGGGGCTGGGCGCAGGTGGAATTGACTGATGCATAATGCATAGGAATGTAAAATACAAAAACGTCCAACAAAGTGTTAATCCTGGTTTGCAATCTAATCGGCCTTTCAGGTCAATCAGGAACCGGGCCTGCGTTGGTAAGCTTTATGACGGTTACACCACATACTTACCTGAAAATTGCTTCAGCCAATCAAAGACCAAGATTTTGAGCCGTGAAAATCAAAATGGCTGTTATATGGAGTCTTGTATAACTTGTTTGGACAACCAACAACCGGTGGAAACTAACTTCTAGGCTGAAACGCTGCTTGTACGGTGGCTGTAGTTCTCGACTGCGTGTAGTGTTTCCGGTGAACGTAACATGGAAGTGATTTTCAAACAATCGTTTTTGTGGCGCGGTGTTAAAAGTTCAAATTGAATCGAGTTGTTAATAAAATGGCGTGACGTTGGTGCAGGCGGCACAATTTGGGTTTTGCTGGATCTCCTTCGCTTGCAATATTGTTAAAATCGGGCGAAAAAGATCAAGGTAAAGACGTTTCACAAGTTCAAGGTCTATGAATTATGAGCAAGACCAACTCTAAGGCGGGGTAAGTCTAAATAACATTCACAAGCTTTAAAAGCTTTTTTAAAAATGTCGAAGTTTAACTTAAACTTAAATTAACTTTCAAACAGGAACTTTCTTCCTTAGCGTCAAGTTGTCTTTTATTATTTATAGGGGTACTGCAAGGATAGGCGCCTTGCTTGAACAACTGCAAAAACTTTGTCTCGCTGGTTCAGAGGCGAAATATGAGCAAGATAAGGTTGATGTTGAACAGTTGCGCTACGTTACAAATAAAATCCAGCAGCTTTTGTCATCTCAAGGTTAGTTAAGAGCTTATAATAAAGTAGATGATCATTCCTTTGAGTTAAGTATTTCCGATATAGCATAATAAACTTGCCATCTCCTTGTATGTATGACCATTCGTCTCAGTAAAAAAAAAATTTGAAAAAAAGCGTTGTTGCCCTATTATCAGCAGGCTTTATGGAGCTTAAATGGAGCATTGCGGGTTAATTGATGGGTAAATAAAGTAAATATGATTAATGGTCGTTAATTAACAGTTAATGAATGAGGCTGAGTATCTTATGAAGAATTATGGAGATCGAGGAGGGTGTTATCCGTCGAGGCCGTAGGCCGAGGCGGATAACACCCTCCGAGATCTCCATAATTCTTCATATGATACGAAAGCCGAATTCAATAACTGTTTTATTATTCATTCAAAACAATTCCTAGTTTAAAAACATAGCTAAAACATGCTTACCTCCATCGATCCATCGATGTTCAGTTCATCTTCGATACTGTACGCTTACGTTTGTTCAGCTCCGCAAGTATTCTCCAAATAGCAGATGTCGCCTTTCGAGTTGTCTTCTTGCTGTTCTTGCCATGTTTTTAGCTATGTTTTCGCCTAGTTCTTACTCTTGAAACGGGTGAAATGTCC